AATTCTTGTCTATATAAATGCTAATAGGCTCTGGCCAGGGAGGGTTCAACTGACTTCCCTCCACCCCCACGGAAGGGGATAGTTTAGTATCCATGTGTAAATTCATTTCAGTTTCACTTCATTCCATATAAATTTGTGCTTCTTCGACTTATCTTTTGAACCAGTTTTAACATCCTCATAAATCTCATTAAATAATGAGTTTAACAAAATCTTTAACACATACTTAATTTAAATCTGTAAGGGAGTTGTGATTTTACCTTTTTTTAAAAAATTATCCTTTAGCTCAATTTAAGTCTAATTATTGCTCATTTAATTCCTTGACTTATAATTATAATAAGTAATAATTCTAGAAAATACTACAAATGCCCAGATATCTGGAACTAGATTCTTAATCTTTTTCCTTGAAGAAGAGAGAAAGAAAATATTTTAAAAACCTGTAAGACATTTAATTAACTTTTTCAAAGATGGTGTACCTAGTTATCCAAAACCATTAAAGTTCACTGGTATAAACTGCTTATTACATCTTAGTATTAGAATTCTTATTATATATGTGAAAACATATTCATGTCAAGTAGTTACAAACAATGCAATTCTACAAAATAAACTCAAGTGTGGCAGACACTCACCAAATATACATGTGATACATTGCATTTCGCAGCCTCCCCTGTTGAAATGTGAGCAGAAGTGATAGTAGTCACTTCCAGGGCAAGGTAATTAAGAGCAGGGTGTACCTGGCACAGTGACAGTGAGGGCAGTGTTCATGATGATGTAACAAGATGGAGGAACCATATCTATCTCTATGTACTGACCTAAAAAAAGTTCATGATACATTTATAAGTGAAAAATATAAAAGAACTCAAAGAGCAGAAGTAAACTTTCTCTTCTTTTTAAATATATATATATTTTTAAGTAGAACTGGCATTTACTACAACATACCAGACAAAATAACCTAAAAACCTTTCTACCTAGAAATGTAAGATAAAATGTAATATTTTTTTTAAACGCATAGCTGAGCTCCAAAGGAAAAAAAGAAAATTCACAGGAACCTAAAATAAAAAGGAAACTAAAAGCGTTAAAATGAGCAGATTAGCAGTTGCCAGGGATGGGGGGAGGGAGAATAGGGCATTATGCCTTAAGGGTTACAAGGTTTTCTTTTGGGGTGATAAAAATGTTTGTAACTAGATAGAGGTGGTGGTTGCAAAATACTGTGAATTTAATGAAGAATGTTCCTAGTTATATGGTTAACTAGATGTTAAGTCTTATCTTTTCCCCCCTGCTTTGGAGATTCACAGTGCACATCTGCACTAGGCTCTAAAAAAATCCTGTAGTAAAAACCCCTATTTAAACTCAGCATTTCTGAGAAATACAAATCGTCTTTGAGTTATGTGTTTTTCAAAATGTAGGTCACAGTCCATTAATTAAAATCAATTTAGTGAATCAGAATAGAAAATACGAGGCTACATCAGTAAAGATCAGCACTGTATTTCAATGAAGCTTTTGTTTCAGTCACACACATTATACATACTTTCAAAAACGCTGTAAAATGTATTTCTTACTGAGTTATCAGACAACTGAAAACACTTTCAATACAAGAAAACAAATCTTACCTCACTTACCATATTATAGAATTCTAGCTCTCTTGGACCCCTTGGAGGTGGCTGTAACTGTTTCAAAACTGTGCCATCTGGATGTTGCAATATACCTACAGAACAAAAATCAGATTTTTTTTAATACTTTAATAATAGTGTAGCTTGAGTCTTAGGATAGATTTATATTTGTCCCTGAAGTTACAGATAAACCATTTTATAAATTTAAAGGTTTCTTTTTATTTATTTCAGAAATCTTAACATTCAACCAACATATTTTAGTGCTTATTTTATGCAAAGCACCAGAATACAAATAGTATAGCAGAAGAGGTGTATTAATTTAAGGCATAAATACTGTTTGCCTAAGTTGCTTCAGTCCTACACATGATGTCCAGAATTTAATTNTTGTCATTAATTTAATACTATGTAAAAGAAAGTATTACAAACCACAGTATTCTAAAATTTGAGAAAATATAGTAGACCCTTGAACAACAGGGGTTTGAACTGTATACATCAGTCCACTTATACGTGGATTTTTTTCAATAAACACTGTAAATACATTTTCTCTTCCTTATGATTTTGTTAATAACATTTTCTTTTGTCTAGGTTACTTTGTTGTAAGAATACAGTATATATAATACATATAACATACAAAATATGTATTATCTACTGTTCATTTTATTAGTAAGGTTTCTGGTTAAGAGGAAACAGTAGTTAAGTTCTTGGACAGTCAAATGTTACACACAGATTTTTGACTGTGTGGGAGCAATGGGGACGGTCGGCACCCTTAATCCCCACATTGTTCAAGGGTCAACTCCATTTATTTTTATGATCTTGTGGAGTAAACATGTATAAAACTTTCCCATCCTGTATTTGTTTCATTTGTAATCAAAAGGATAAAAACAGAAGATGATTGCATGAACTCTCTAGCAAAGTCAAAGCTAAACAATCTGCAATGGTGCAACAGATTTGTCCAACTTCTTCCAGAGCTAACAAAGCAGGAAAAGAATGGAAATCCTGAGGCAACTCTAGGTATTACTGAACAAGTCTATACATGTGTATATTTTTAATTCCCAGACCTTTCTACCCCCATTCTATTTCCATTTTCTCCTCTCATTTTCTCACCTCGTGTTCTCATCTCAGTAACACCAATATTTCCAGTTATATTCAAATAAGAGCATTAGAATTTGCAAAGCATTCTCACATAACATAGCTGCATCTTCACAACTCTATGGGGTATTATTTTCAATTTATAGAAGAAAAAGTAGAGCTCAAAAGGTTAACGAGTTAGGCAAGTTCACAAAATTTGGAAATAACCAAGGTAGAAGCCAACTCTTTTGATTTCAAAGTCACTGCTCTCTATATTAGCACAGATGTTCCTTAAGGTTATTTAGTACAGACGACCAAAAAGGTTCCTGATTGCTACCAAGTCCTTGATTTTTAAATCATGTGCTAGTAATCTAAACTATAAAATGTTACTTTTAATTATTTCTTCTCTTTTCCAACTTTTTTCTATATACTCTACTTTTCAAAATAATGATGGTGTTTGTTGTTATTCTGCCCTTTCTAGAGTCTTTTAAAACTGAATATTTTAATTATCTAGATATCTAATCTAACACCATCCTCAGCAACCTTTGTTTAATCTTTCAATGTCACTTTACTGAAAAATAATGATCTGCTCTAAATTAAACAGTAATCAGTAGCAAAGTTAATTGAAATCTAAGTATCTTACATTACACAATGGAAATCTGTACAAATCAAAAGTGATCATAATGACTTGTGAAATAATTTAAGCAACATGTTGATCTGAATCAGAAACACATACACACATACATTCGGGACTAAAAGACAAGAAAGAAAAAAAAAGGAAGTGGGGGGAGGGAGAAGGAAGAAGAGAGGAGAGGAGGGAAGAAGAGAGGAGAGGAGGGGAGAGGAAAGAGGGAGAAAAAAGAGCCTCCATTAATTTGTTTTTTTTTCCCCATACAATTGAAGTACAGGAGAAATCTAAACATCCAAGGGAACCATCGATTTAGTATTACATGAGGATGAGCACAGGGAGATACCATGATTCCCTATTAATGAAACTTGACACATAGTCAATGAGTCAAAGGAAAACAAAGAAATGAGGAAAAGAACAACCTCAAAATCAAGCCCCCGGGCCAGCCGAGTGGCGCGATGGTTAAGAACTGGCTTGGGACGCCAGAGGGCCCCGGTTCGGATCCCACATATGAGGGCCAGTGACACTGCCCNTCTAAAAATCCACCACTAGGGGAATACATTTTGATACATCCACACTATAAAATACAAGTTTTTTTTTAAAAATGAAGTATAGCGTAAATACAAAAATATATACTACATAATATATATAGAAACAAAAAGTTGCTGATATGTTTGTATGAAAAATTAGAATTGTGTTATGTTTTTATGTATGTGCCCAGAAACAAAGGTCTGAAAGGATACACCCAAAATAGTTACTAGCTATTGCCCCTGGGAAAGGGAGAGTAGGCAGAAGAGCAAGCACTACTATACTGTTTTACTGTCTGAATTTTTTATATAAAAGATCAAGTGTTACTTTTACAATTAAAGAAAAAGATTTCAGTGTACTTTGATGAAATATGATTTCAGTGAAGAACATAAAATATAACTGTTATCAGAATATATAACATTCTTGTCCCTTAACTATAACAAGATCTATTTTTCTGTTCAAGTACCTTTATGCTATTGATTGGTCCCATGTTTTTAATTTTTAATTTAACAAAGCCAATGTCAATGTAAGAAATGTCCAAACCTGTAGAGAATTTTTATAAGAATCTGAGCCCAAACTAACGACAATCGCCAGGAAGCAAGATCTCAAATGTTCTGCAGAATGGCAGTTTGCAGTTTCTTTTATGCATTTGAAATTAAGGAAAATGACATGAAGGTGGGAGAAGGGCAGGGGGAGGATTGGATTACAAGATAGTTAACAAGATTATGTGCTCTCTTGAAGGTGATTATTTCAGAGATGTGTTAATCCTAGATGCACAAAAACATGGACAGGGCTTGGTTAAGGCAAAAAAAAAACAAACCTGTTACAAAAGAAATTATATGCCTAGGGCATGACTACCTACCATGATCTGCCCAGTTAGGAATTTATGATCAGATCACCTTGTGAGGTTATTTTCCATAGAACCCCTTTTTCATCCATACTTAACTCCTTTTTGGAAATAGNTAGCAAATTCTATCAAAAATTTACAGAAAAAAATAATACCAATCTTACCAACTATGATTAGAAAAGTAGGAAACATTTCCCCACATATTTTATGAAGCCAGGATACTCTTGATTTTTAAAAACTTCAACAAAGGCTTAAAAGAAAATTACAGATACTTATCTCAAATGAACACAGTCACAAAAATCTTTAATGAAACATTAGTAAATCTAATCCAGTAATATATAGCGGGTAATTTATCAATAACCATGTGGACTTTATTCTAAGAATGCGAGATTCATTTAAATATTTCAAAATGAGTAAATACATTTATCTTTCGGGATACAGGATTCTCAATGAGAAAGGAGATACAAATATAGAATAGGAAAAGCAAAGAAAAACCCTGTGGTATTAGATTTAAATTATAGGTATAAGTATGAACTCCAATTTTTAAGAATATAAAATTATGTATTTTTTAGTCCAATCTGCTAAAAGGACAAACAGCAACCACACCCAAGGAACAATGTGTATACTAGTGCCCTTATCTTGGTTTTTCATTTACCCCTGAAGGGACCAGGTCCTTGAAGAAAAAAACGGATCATTTCAGGGATGGGACAGGGAAAGTACAAGGTGAACATCAAACATCTTTTTATGGCAGAAAGTAAAAAATGTTTTAAAAGGAAAAATGGGAAATGTTTAAAAGACACAGGAGCCAACTTGAAAAAGCTCTCATTGCACAAATCTAGGACAATATGAGCATCAAAATAAGCAGCAACAATGATGGCTAAAGTCCAACCATTGAAGTCTGAAAAATCTATCAGGGAGAAAGAGAGGGAGGATGGGAAAGAGGGAGGATAGGAAGGAAGGAGGGTAGGAAAGAGGGAGGGTAGGTAGGAGGGAGGGAGAAGAGGGATAGGAATGGGGGAGAGAAGGCAAGAAGGGAGGGAGGGAGGAAAGAGAGAGAGAAGGGAAACTATTTCTTAAAGTAGTATGCCAACTAACAAATATAACAGGAATGACAGAGCTAGAATATTAGCGTTTTGCAACTATCGTAGCAATAAGTGAGTTGGCCAAATATTGTCAAAGGATGCTTTTAACACTGGGTGAAAACTGGATGAAGAACAGGATATTTAACAGTCTCAAAATATTTTCTCTAAATTACTTAATTGCAAAAGCAAAAATGAAAACTTGACAGTGGAAAATCTGGTAGACACTACTTAACCAGGTAATCAAAGTTACATTACCAGTAATCCAACTGACATTCTGTGTCTTAGATGATGGTCCAAGAATACAACATAACTCATAGTATTTTACCAAAAATGCATTAATCTGAATCCAATCATAAGGAACAATCAGACAAACTTAATTTAAAGAATATTCTAAAAAGCCATATATACCTATACTCTCCAAGTATTTCATGGCTATGAAAGATAAAGAAAAAAAATGAAGGGCCGGCTGAGTGGCTCAGTTGGTTAAGAGCTCGCTCAAGAGTTTGAGCTCTGAGCAACAGCGGTTCGAGTCCCANCACCATCTGGCTGCCCATCAGCAGCTCAGGGCAGCTCAGCTCAAGGTGCCATGTTCAATCTTAGTTGCAGGTGGTCATAGCCCACTATCCCATGGGGGAGTTGAACCCGCAATCTTGTTGCTAAGTGTGCACGCTCTAACCACTGAGCCATCCGGCAGCCTGTTGGCAGCTCAGCAGCAGCTCAGCTCAGGCGCAGCTTACTGGCCCATGAGGAAATCGAACCAGCAACCCTGTTGCTCAGAGCTCACGCTCATCCAACTGAGTCACTCGGCTGGTCCCTGAAAAAGAAATTTTAGAAGTATTCCATTTGCAATTGCAACAAAAAGAATCAAATACTTAGGAATAAATAAAGTATATGAAGGATCTATACACTGAAAACTACAAGACATTGTTGAAAGAAATGGGA